CAGAAATCCACCGAGCTGCTGATCCGCAAACTGCCGTTCCAGCGTCTTGTGCGAGAAATCGCTCAAGATTTCAAGACCGATCTGCGTTTCCAGAGTTCCGCTGTGATGGCTCTTCAAGAAGCTAGCGAGGCCTACCTTGTTGGTCTGTTTGAAGACACCAACTTGTGCGCCATCCACGCCAAGCGCGTCACCATCATGCCCAAGGATATTCAGTTGGCCCGCCGAATCCGTGGAGAGCGAGCATAAAGTGGACAACACTTTCACCAAACAAACGGCTCCTTTAGGAGCCACCACATGAATAAAAGCAATGACCAATTGATCTATTACAAAAAATATGGTATTCCCTTCACAGTAGATACTATCAGATAATATATAGATGTTGATTGGCCACGCGTTCGTAGCAGAACTAAAGTTCTCGTACAAGCGGAGTACTTCTGCAGCAAAAATCTAAAAACACGGGGCGACGCAGCGTTTGCATGATTTTTTTGAAACCTCTCGGTTCAGGAAAGGTTACGATCCACACTACTTTCTTTTTGGATTAAAGCTTAGTTTGAAGTTGCAAAAATCCAAATCAAGGCCTTTCGTGTTTCTACAATAAGATAGTCAGCGCTGTGTATAAAGAGCGGAATACATACTTTATCTTCGGGACAATCTCAAATGATCCCGCGTGGATTTTCCTTGTTGGCGGACGCTACAGTATTTCATCATGTTTACGTACACATCCAAGACATTTCGAATACTCAATAATACTCAACAATGCCCGAAAGAACAGATCAAAACTGTTATCTTTGACGGCGGGGTTTTTTTTTGTCAAAAGATGTTTGTAATCTTTTATTCTCCAGGAATCAGTTCGGAAAACCGAGCTCGAAATAGCCGTTAGTAAATAATTTCCCTTGGCCTTACAAGTGAATTGGATCTTTGTTATTCAATATTGTTATCGAGAGAATCTGTTTTCGCTCCAGACTTTCTCGGGCAAAACTGAAACGAATCTTTTCAAATGGCTTTTGCGTTACACGCGCACGAGACCACGAGTCACGCAACTTCCGAGATTGTTTTCAAACCGTCACAGTCAAAGCGAGCTTTCAGCGACAAATCTTTAGAAACAGATTATTTTACGGAGTCTCCTTAGAATTTAAAAGTGAAATCGAATAATTTGTAACTTATAGATATTTTTCGGGCAAGGAATAGAAGACGGGACGAACCAAAAGCTTTCACAGCACAAGTTTATAGCTTAAGAAATCAAAAAAAAGGATTATTTTTTTCGGAGTCGTACTCTGTTGACTATTGCACTTTTATTTCGTTTGGTGGCTCCTAAAGGAGCCGTTTTGTTTGGTGAAGGAGTGCCCTACTCCTTAAGCTTTCTTAGCTGGCTTCTTGGCGGGCTTCTTCGCCGCGGGTTTCTTCACTGCTTTCTTGGGGGACTTTTTGGCTGCAGGCTTCTTAGCCGCTGGTTTTTTAGCTGCGGGCTTCTTTGCTGCTGCTTTCTTAGCTGCGGGTTTCTTTGCTGCTGGCTTTTTCTCCGTTGGTTTCTTTGCGGCCTTCTTTGCCGCCGGTTTCTTCGCGGCCTTCTTGGCGGCGGGCTTCTTTGGTTTGGCGGCGGGCTTCTTCTTTGCAGCGGGCTTCTTCTTTGGTTTCTTCTCCTTCTTTTCCTCCTTGGGCACCTTGAAGGAGCCTGAAGCACCAACTCCCTTGGTGTGTAGAAGTTTTCCACCGGCGGCGCCTCTCTTCAAAGCCAACTTCAGGTGAGGGCCGACCTCACCAACCTTGTAGTTGCCTTTGATGTATTTCTCGATGGCTTGGCGGGAAGAACCGTTTCGCTCCTTCAGTGCTACAATGGCAGCCTTGATCATCTCTATGTAAGGTGGATGATCAGCTGGCTTTTTAGGCATTGTTGGCTTCTTCTTTGCTGCTTCGGACATCTTGCAATTGTAGAACAACGAACCTTACTCTCGCTTAATTAAGAACTGAAGATTCTAAAAGCCTTTTTAGTTGAGATCGAATGTAAATGCATCGCATGCGGACCACTAAGGAAACAGGGCTGGAAAATGGCCTCGCGCAGTTCTGTGCTTGTTTGCCTAGTGATTGGCGCAAATAAAGTGTGATACTCGAACGATTTAATGAACCTAAGCTTCAAATTTTGTGACTTTGATATTTTTCAAGTTGAAGATGTTAAAAAACTTGGGATGAATACTGAAGAAGGTTAAACTTTTAGGCGTAAAACTTCATAAACTAGTAACTATTCATACAATATTTCATCTTTACAGCTAAATAACTCCAGTTCAGGTCGCTATCATTCAAAACTTTTTAAATAGTAGGAAAGATAAACTTCTAAACCTTACATTTCTCTGATAAAATTGGCCCTCCTTTTGATCTCCAGACACTGAACGTAACTGAAGTTTCAACAACAAGGACAAACTCCTTCAGTCCGCCATTTGTGTATATATATCACTGTTTGATGTGTCATGGCAAACGTAATACCTTCGGGGAGACGCGAGGGTTACTTAGGGATAAGAAAGCAGATAGGAAATCTGATATTTAGAATTTTACTCTTAATTCTGTAAGAGCTAAGTAATGATGCATGGTACAGTGCCATCATTATATGACATTATAAATACAGTCGTTGCCGATCTTATCCGTCGCGCGCAAGCTAAATTTATCCATCATATGTTCATCCTCACCTTTTTAATACGTGCTCTCAGTTTCTTGAAATCGTAACGCGAGTGGTCCTAGAAAGTGGAGAAAGTGGAGAAACAGAAGTGGGTCGATAAAAATGATAGAATGTGTACGATTCTCGGTTTGTAAACACAACAATCTGCGAGAAAACGCGGTCAAAGTGCCAGAGGTTACGGCTGCATGTTTGTCAGTCTATATCCAGATCAACTCTGATGGGAACACATGCAACGTTTTATGTACTATCTTATTACCTAGGCTAGTATTTATTGAATCACACTGTAAGGCAATCCACACTTTAAAACAACGTACTTCAAGCTCTCCTTCGTCCGGAGGTCTTCATGCAGAGGTAGTCAACAAACACACGACGATTTCCACCTGCTGACCCGACAAGATGAACGCAGTAAAGCAAATAAGCTTGTCATCATGAAACATCACTAGTTCAAGACATTTCTTAAACAAAGAACAAAGCTTCGAAATTACGGCGGTAAACTATAAACTCCATTTTCCACTATTTTTCTTGCACACGCCGAGTGCCAAAATGGCGGCAATCGATTACACTCAGGAGGGGAGGGGAGGGGAGGGGAGGGGAACGAAGGCCTACCCGGGGAGACCCATGGATAATCCAGGCAAGTTCGCACAGATGGACTGGGTACAAAATGCAGACTGCATACTGGGTGCAAACCCACTGACAGTGAATAACAACTATTGTTTTCGTCCAATCGTCATGATGACATGTTGATGTCATTTTATAACTTACCAAGTGTTTCCCGCAGTAATCTTCCGCACCAGAGAAACATTCTTGGCCTGCTTCTTCAATTATTTTGTTTTAAGAAAGCATCGAGGCCATATTAATTTTTTTCCTTTAGAGAATTTCAAGTCTTCATAGTCTAATCATACTTCGTGCACAAGATTTCAGTACACTATTAAATAACAACTGGTAATATGATGGAAATATTATCTAAGAACAAATGAAAAATAATCTTGTAGTAAGCTAAAGAATTGAGGAGCGTCAAAGTTTCCGACATGTTTCTTACATGTCCCCAGTGAAATCAAATATACAGTCAAAAATAAGTTATTCAGCTTCGAATTTGTATGAGTGATGTCAATATAATGATAAAGGGATTGAGGCTTGCCTGGATTCCAAGACTTGTAAACCCTGAGAGTCATAACTGAACATCAATACTGGACCATTTCTCTATAAAACTTTCATTTGAGGATTAAACTTGAACAAGAATAATATGTAGTAAATATTAATGTGCTATAGATTAGGAGAAGTTTTCAAGGTAATGTTTTCAATGTTTATTTATTTTCTTTACCCATGAGAGCATGAGATAAGAGAGAGGGGATATTCACTGATTAAATTTGCAGGTCGGAAGGGGTTGGCAGGAGAAAGGCCGAGTCTTACAAAGAATGATATGCATTTGACCATAGTTAGTGGAGGGGACTAACTATGATTTGAACTGGAAATTATCATCTGATATTGTTATAGTTTTGTGTTTTGATTGTCATGGTAGGGTTTTGAGTGAGATGTTGTTAGCTGCCTCTGTTTTCCTCTTTACATCGCACTGAAGTTGATAAGATCTTTTAAAGGTACCAGATGCTGAAAGCACGAAACTGAGAGGTATGAATTGGCCCTTGTCGACCTTGTTAAAGCACTTAACCCTGTCAACTCTATTAAACACTTTTCAAAGGCAAGCTTTGTTAACTCAATTTAAACACAACATCTGTGCAATCGCAATTGAAGTAATTTGGGAAATTTTAATTATGAAATAGTATTTTAGTTATTTGGAGTAGTATTCTTAACTTTAACTTAAATAATGTCTCTACAATATTTGCTTTGATATAACATGACAAGTGTTTTACCTCGAAGTTTGTTGAAACAAACAAGCTAGTTATTCTGGAAGCCACTCACAATAATTCTAGATAGTGTTTACGTTTAGAGCGTTTACGTACATTTAGTTGGGGTGCGTGTCCATTTCAAGCATGCTCTAGTTCGCAAAAACTGACGATCGGATCAATGACATCAGAAATTGTAGAATTGCTAGAATTTTATTGTAAGATTAAAAAACAAATTTTGTATTTTGTTATGTCAGTTTTTTTTTTCGTAAAAGTTGTTTCCTTGTTAGCATCGGTCTGACCGTGCTCAATTTTCCCGCCAGAAGACTCAAAATACACATGCGCCGTTTTTTTTTTTTTTTTTTTTAANGCGCCGAAAAGACATGACAGGAAATACATATGTTATTGGCCGGCTGGGAGGTCCGTATAGTGAAAAACTGTGACCGAGGACTTGTAACTCAGACAAAGAGAAATGTATTAAAGAACAGTTC